CACCTTCAGCCTTGGTTCCGGCTCTGTTTCGTGGCGGGCTACTCGCTCGTCTTCTGTTCTCGGCTCCAGTTGTGAGGCTGAGATCTACGCAGGAGCCATGGCTGCACAGGAGCTTCGCTGGCTCACCTACCTGCTGACTGACCTCGGAGAGTTGCCTCGTTCTCCTCCAGTGCTGTACGTAGACAACAAGGCCATGCTGGCCTTGTGTCGGGAGCAGCGACTGGAGCACAGAACGAAGCACATTGCTCTCCGCTACTTTCTTGCTCGTGAGCTGCAGCAGCGTGGTCAGCTGCGTCTTGCGTACGTGGCCTCTGAGGCCAACACTGCTGATATCTTCACCAAGGCACTTGCGCCTTGTGACCATCAGCGCTTCTGTACTCAGCTGGGCCTTGTGCCTACCTTGCCTCACTTGCTCACCTCTTGACCTTGCTTGTACTGTTACATATATATATACCTGCTCTTGCTTGTCTAGCCTTATTATATATATGTGTACTCCTGCTTGTGAACTGGCCTTGTGGCCTTGAACTTGTGCTCGGAATGTGTGGTGACTTTGTGATCCACCCTGAGCTTGCTTTGCTTTGCTTTGCTTGACTGGTCTTGTGACCCCTTGTTCTCCCCCACTTTGCCTATGGGGGTGTGTCAGAACATTATAGCTCATGCATATTGTGTAGGCTATAGTGGGGTACTCCATAAGAATACAACCCAATTAGGGTTAGTACTTGTACCCAATTCATTCATAGTTCATCCATTCCTCGTTTCTTCTCACCATGTACGACTAAAATGTCTTTATCTGCCAAATTACATAGATCCGATACGTTAAAACAGGGTAGGGGGGTGAGGAATGGTATGATTCAAAGGAAATGGGAATACATATGGTACTCACTGTATTTATACGGGGAAAATAATGTGTCGGCTGGTAAGGTCAGTATGCACGCTTGCGTGTAGGTACAAGGCGGAACTGGAACTGTGAAATCTCCCAAATTATGTGGATCGGAAAGGTTATAACCTAGTGTTGTTGAAGTAGAAGGTCTAATCTAGTGGACTGGCAAGAATATGGTAGTAACTGCATCTCTACAACATGAGTAATGCGCTGGTCAGTTTTGTTGTTATGCGCGCCTGTAGTGCAAGTACAATGTACGGCTGGAATGTCTATATCTGCCAAATTACATAGATCCGATAGGTTAAAACATGGTAGGGGGTTGGGGCATGGTATTATTTAAAGGAAATGGGAATACTTATGGTATTCAATATATTTGTACAGAGAGAATAATACGTCGCCTGGTAAGGTCAGTATGCACGCTTGTGTGTAAGTACAAGGCGGAGCTGGAACTCTGAAATCTCCCAAATTATGTGGATTGGAAAGGTAATAGCCTAGTGTTCTTGAAGTAGAAGGCCTAATCTAGTGGACTGGCAAAAATATGACACTAACTGCATCTTTACAAACATACGTAATGCGCTGGTCAGTTTGGTCGGTATGCGCGCCTGTAGTGCAGGTACCATGTACGACTGAAATGTCTTTATCTGCCAAATTACATAGATCCGATGGGTTAAAACATGGTAGGAGGGGGGGAATGGTATCATTTAGAGGAAATGGGAATACATATGGTATTCATTGTATTTTTACGGAGAGAAAATGCGTCGGCCGGTAAGGTTAGTATGCACGCTTGTAAGTAGGTACAAGGCAGAACTGGAACTCTAAAATCTCCCAAATTATGTGGATCGGAAAGGTTATAACCTAGTGTTGTTGAACTAGAAGGTCTAATCTAGTTGACTGGCAAGAATATGGCACTAACTGCATCTCTACAAACATACGTAATGCGTTGGTTAGTTTGGTCGGTATGCGCGCCTGTAGTGCAAGTACCATGTACGACTGAAATGTCTATACCTACCAAATTACATAGATCCGATAGGTTAAAACATGGTAGGGGGGTGAGAAATTGTATCTTTTAAAGGAAATGGGAATACATACGGTATTCACTATATTTGTACGGAGAGAAAAATGCGACGGCCGGTAAGGTCAGTATGCACGCTTGTGTGTAGGTACAAGGCGGAACTGGAACTCTGAAATCTCCCAAATTATTTGGATCAGAAAGGTTATAAACTAGTGTTTTTAAAGTAGAAGGTCTAATCTAGTGGACTGGCAAGAATATGATACGTTGGTCGGTTCGGTCAGTGTGCACGCTTGTGTGCAGGTACAAGGCGGAACTGGAGCTTTGAAATCTCTTAAATTATGTGAATCTAAAAGGTTAGAACGTATTGTTGTTAAAGTAGATGGCCTAATCTAGTGGCCTTTCTGCACATGTGCGGATCCTTCCGCGTTTTGAGTCTAGAAGCGCTCGTTCCGAGCGTTTTTCTTCCGTCGGGTCACATGGTTGCGGACCAGCTATGTGTGCTACGGACCAGCTAGATGTGCTACGGACCAGCTTGGTGTGCTACGGACCAGCTAGATGTGCTACGGACCAGCTAGGTGTGCTACGTACCAGCCAGATGTGCTACAGACCAGCTAGGAGTGCTACGGACCAGCTAGATGTGCTACAGACCAGCTTGGAGTGCTACGGACCAGCCTGTGCTAGGAGGGGCTTTGTAGCATTCATGTTCATTTTTGGGGTTTGTAGCCCCGACACGCGAGAAAATCCGCACATGTGTGTCAGAATCCTAGCGTGAGTTTGGCTTAGGAGCCATAGTTTAGGAGCCTTGGTAGTTGAGTTCGAGTTTAGGAAAAGTATCGAGAGGTTTGGGGTTTCACTAGCAAGAGTTGGGATACAAGTACAACACCCTAAATTGGGTTGTACTCATTACAGAGTACCCCACTGCAGGCTAGACAGCAAATACATTCTGACACACCCCCATAGCCAAAGTGGGGTGTAATCAGCACAATGAGCAAGCATAGAGCAAGAGTTCACAATAGGTAAGTAAGGCTAGAGCTAATCACAGAGGGCAAGTGAGGAGGAGGAGAGACTAGAAGATGGGAGGCGACTGCTGACGCTGCAGACTCACAGACGAGCTGCTGGCTCAGTGGCTACCGGAACAGCGCTCCGGACTACTGGGGTAACTGGCCCCGCGGCTAAAAGTAGCGGCAGACGAGCAACGGACCCACGGCCGACTGGCGACTACCGGAGATTGTAGCCTCCGGACTGCTGCTGCTGCTGACGACAAGACTGCTGCCTCCACTCGACCTCCCCAGCTGCCTAACGCCCTTCTCACACACCCCCTGCTCAAACCCTAGCCCTACACCCACAGCACCCCCTTAAACCCTAAACCCCAGACTCCCACACATCCACCCCCCTCAGCGAGAGCTGCAGCAGTGGGAGACGAAGGAGGAGGAGGAGGAGGAGGGAACGGCACGCACAACCGACACCCCCACAACCATCACCCCCACACCCACCCCCCCACGGCTGCACCGGGTCCAGGAGCGGCTGCTGCAGGGGCCAGGGGCGGCTGCTGCTGGGGCGGCTGCTCCAGGGGCTGCTGCTGCTGGGGCGGCTGCTCCAGGGGCTGCTGCTGCTGGGGCGGCTGCTCCAGGGGCTGCTGCTGCTGGGGCGGCTGCTGCTGGGGCGGCTGCTCCAGGGGCTGCTGCTGCTGGGGCGGCTGCTCCAGGTGCTGCTGCTGCTGGGGCGGCTGCTCTAGGGGCTGCTGCTGCTGGGGCTGATGCTGCTGGGGCGGCTGCTCCAGGTGCTGCTGCTGCTGGGGCGGCTGCTCCAGGGGCTGCTGCTGCTGGGGCTGCTGCTGCTGGGGCGGCTGCTGCTGGGGCGGCTGCTCCAGGGGCTGCTGCTGCTGGGGCGGCTGCTCCAGGGGCTGCTGCTGCTGGGGCGGCTGCTCCAGAGGCTGCTGCTGCTGGGGCGGCTGCTCCAGGGGCTGCTACTGCTGGGGCGGCTGCTTCAGGGGCTGCTGCTGCTGGGGCGGCCGCTGCAGTGGCGGCGGCTCCAGGGGTTGCTGCTGCTGGGGCGGCTGCTCCAGGGGCTGCTGCTGCTGGGGCGGCTGCTCCAGGGGCGGCTGCTGTTGCAAGGCAGGCCGCTCCAGGGGCGGCTGCTTCAGGGGCGGCGGCTCCAGGGGCGGCTGCTGCAGCGGAAAGTAGGAGGGAGGGGAGGGGAAGGGCGCGGCCCCCATTGTGCCCTGACGGGCGATGTGCTAGGGAGCCGCGCAGGTCCCCAAAAGTGCCTCGACTGGCAACGAGAGGGGACCGCGCGCAGGCCCCTAAGGCGCCGCGACGAGGCAACGGGAGGGGCCGGCTCGCGGGCCCCGAAAGTGCCGCGACGAGGCGACGGGAGGGACCTGCGTGCAGGCCCCCAAAACGCCTCGACGAGGCGACGGTCGGGGCCAGTGCGCGGGCCCCAAAGACGCCGCGACGAGTTAGGAACCCGCCGCGCGCCTCGGGGCGCACGGCGGGCAGAAAACCGCCACGCGCTCCGAGCGCGTGGCGGGAAGAAAAATGGGATGTCGCGCGCCACGGGGCGCGCGACACACAGTAGGGCAGCGGAATCGAGTGGGCCCACAGGCCAGGAACGTTAAGCTCTGATAACATGTCAGAATCCTAGCGTGAGTTTGGCTTAGGAGCCATAGTTTAGGAGCCTTGGTAGTTGAGTTCGAGTTTAGGAAAAGTATCGAGAGGTTTGGGGTTTCACTAGCAAGAGTTGGGATACAAGTACAACACCCTAAATTGGGTTGTACTCATTACAGAGTACCCCACTGCAGGCTAGACAGCAAATACATTCTGACAATGTGTAGAAAATTGAACTTATTCACATATTTTGCAAACACTTTTTTTGCCAAAGTCTTATGCCGCGTGCATCCCCGACCTAGTCTGCCTCACTATCGCTTTGTGGATTTAGGGGGCCTATGGATTGGGATGCTTTCGTTAGCTTCACCAATTTAGAGCTTTGAAACGTTACCTATAGGTTTCCGTACTGCTATCTCCTGTCCTAAGCACAGCACGATCGTAGTACTAGCGAGCGATTTCATGTGTTATTATCTAAACGTTTATTGTCCTTCGAATCATTGCCATGAGGCCATCAGTGGCAGCAGTCGACTGGGTGGAGGACGAGTGGTCCGCGGCGCCGTGCGAGTCGTCGCCGCCAGCCTCCACCGCTGCACCCGCCGCTTCGCCGCTTACCCTAACCGCTCCGCCCAAGCGTCTCAATTCGCTCGCCTCCACGTTTCTTCCCGCCGCCATCTTCGCGCGTCCTTCGCCCCCGGCCGTCTCGCGGCTCCTCGCCGATGGGGCTGCGGCGGCTGGCGGCGACGGCGACGGCGAGGAGTGCGAGGGTGAGGGCGGGCCGTACGCGGCGTGGGAGGATGACGGGGAGGGGGGGGACGACGAGGGTAACGACGGGCGTGCGGAGGCAGACGGGGCCGGGGAAGGCGGCGTGGGGTCGGCGCTGCTGGCGTGGGGTCGCAACCTCTTTCACCGCCCTCCGCCCGCGTCGCTCTCGCCGCCCTCCAAGCTTCTCCAGCCGCTCACTTCCCTCGAAGCGCGAGCCCCCTCCTCCTTCCGCCGGCATGCCGCCACCATCGGCAGCAGCGCCGGCAGCAGCGCGGACGGCGCCCGCTCTCTCGCCGGCAAGCTCTGGGGGGCGCTGGCTCCTCGCTCCACACACGCGCACCTGCTCAGTGACGTCAGCAGTGGTAGCGCCAACATCAGCAGCGCGCCTCTTCAAAGTTCGGGAGGGGCAACGCGCGGAGCTCCGCGAAACGGCGCGCGCAGCTCGGGCATGGCGGGCGAGTCGTTCGAGTCTGCGCGTTCTGCTCGCGAGCACGCTGCGGGCGCACCAGGGGGAACTAGGGGGAGGGGCAACTGGTCGGCGGGAGGGGGGACGCTGAGCGCTGTGGGCGCGCAGGGCAGCAGGGAGGGGTTGGGGGGGATGGCGTGTGGTGGTGAGGGTGGTGGGGATGGCGGACGCGCAGGGGCGGTGGGACGAGGCGGGGATGGGCGTGGGGCGCAGGGGGGCGGGGGGCAGGGGTGGGCGCACAAGGTGTTGGAGGTGCTGCCTGTGCTGGCCGTGGTGACGCTCATGGTCTTCGGTACCGTCGCCTACCTCACCGTTGTCGACGCCAGTAAGCTTCCCCCTCCCTCCCTCCCTCCCTGCGCAGCTCGCCTGCTTCCTCTCTGCCGCACTCCCTGCTCCATTCTTACCCCATCTGCCTGCTTCCTCTCTGCCGCACCCTCTGCTCTCTCCTCATCGTTTCTTGCGTCCCACAATCGCTACAGCTTCGCTCTCTCACCCGTGTTTCCCTCCCTGTCCCCCCCTCCTTCCCCCCGCCCCTCCCTCATCTGCGGGCGCCAGTCCTGCCGCGCCTGCGCCCGGCCTTCTCCCTCGCGTGTCCGCTGCAGCAGGGCCACTGGGCGCTCTCCTCGCGCCGCCCGCTCTACCCGCCCTCCTGCCCCTTCCTCCGGGACGACTTCAACTGCGCCAAGTTCGGCCTATCAGCGCGTGACACGTGGCGCTGGGAGCCGTCGCAGTGCCAGGTGGCGGAGTTCTCAGCGGGGGCGTGGCTGCGGGGCATGGCGGGGCGGCGAGTGGCGTATGTGGGCGACAGGGCCGTGGCCAACGCCTTTGACTCGCTGCTCTGCATGCTCGCCCAGGCCGACTCCCCCACGCCCCTCTCCCCCGCCTCGCCCCACCGTGGCCTCTCCGCAACCAGTGACCCTTCCCTGCCTGTCACGGGCGAGAGGAGGGGGGGACTTGGTGGCAGCGGCGGGAGGAGTGACTCGCAGGCTGGTAGCGGGGAGAGCGTGAGGGCGGCTGCTGATGGGCGTGTGTTCATTGGCGCCCTCGACGCCCCCGGTGCTGCCCCAGGTTTCCCCCATGCCACCTCGGGTGCTCCCCATGCCGCCTCAGATGGCCCCCCTGCTGCCCTGCATGCGGCCCATGCTGCCACTCCAAGCGCAGCACTGCACGCAGGGGCGAGGGGCAGAGGGGGCGCAGGCAGTGAGGTGAGGCGGGGCGGGGCGAGGCACAGCGATGGAGGGTGGGGCTGGAACCCCATCAGGTGGGGCGCGTGGACAAGGCAGGGCAGGGGGCAGCGCGTGGGAGCAGCTTATGCTGCCGGCAGTACAGGCGATGCCACGGGGGCCAGCAGCGCCACCAGCCACGGTGGCTCCTCGCCTGCTGCTGCATCGCCGGTGTCGTCCGGCCTGTTTGACATGCAGCCGCTGCACTACTGGTTTCCGCGTTTCAACTTCACTCTCGCACTGCTGCCCTCGCCCTTCCTTGTCCGGACGTCGCTGCACGCGCCAGTCAACGCCACTCTCTGCCAGCTGCAACGTGCCGCCGCCGCCACGCCACTCAACACCTCTTCCGCTCTCAACACCACCACCACCAACACCACCAGCACCACCAGCGGGGCACCTGCAAGTGAGGCGCCAGATCATGCAGCGGCCGCGCCACCAGCCGAGGCAAGCAGCGGCAAGGATGAAGGGCCGGCAGGCGGCGATGCGTGCTACCCGAACCGCATGTATGTGGACGAGCCCGACCCCGCGTGGGCGCAGCAGGCAGCACAGTTCGATGTGCTGGTGCTGGCGTCGGGGCGCAGCTGGACGGAGGAGGCCGTGGAGACCAACGGGCTCAGCATTGTGGCGGGCGGGGTGCGGCGCAGTGAGCTGAGTGTGGAGGGGCTGGTGGGGCAGTGGGCGTACCCGCTCGCCATGGCGGCCGTGGCGTCGTGGCTGGGCAACGCGTCGCACTTCAACGGCACTGCTGTGTTTCGGTCGTTCAGCCCCACGCACCCGCGCAAGGAGTGCGCCGCCCGCACCTTCCTCCCCGATGCTGTGAGATTCTTCCTTGCACCCTGATGCTGCTTGCCCCCTTTCCTGCTCTGCTCTGCTCTGCTGTGCCCTGCTCTGCTCTCTCTTCTCTCTCTTCTCTCTCTGCTCTTTCTGCTCTCTCTGCTCTCTCTGCTCTCTCTGTTCCTGATTTCTCACCCCACTGATGCCATGCACCCAACCGCCTCACCCCTGTCCTTCATGCCCATGCACAGGAACATGCAGCGGATGTGATGGAGGAGGCACGGCGCTACGATGATGCTGTGGCCCATGCCATCGCCATGGCTCAGGACACCACCCACACCTCCACCACCACCAGCACTGCAGCAGGGGGGCCAGCACCAGGGGGATGGGCAGCAGCTGGGCATGAGGGTCCGCGGCTGCACTGGATGAACGTGTCGCTGCTCACAGCACAGCGCGCTGATGCCCACCCCTGGATGGCATCGCCTGGCCGCCCCACAGCGGACTGCACCAGCTGGTGCCTGCCTGGCGTGCCCGACACGTGGAACGAGCTGCTCGCTGCCACGCTGCTCAAACTCTTTGAGCGCCACTGACACTGACGGCAACGCCGCTTGGGATGCACTTGCGGTTGCAAGTGCCGCATGTGCTTGTACAGCGTTCTGCAACGCATCTGTCAGTTTAGTTATGATTGGGCTGCACTGGTTTGTTGTTTGTTGTGAACTAGGTTAGGGTTGTTCTGTATGTCATGGAGCTACATTGAGTGTCACACTATGGACTGCCTTTGGCAACATTTTTGCATCCCAATCTGCTTGCCACATGGTCAACATTCATCAGCCTACCACAAGACAGCACACAGAACGATTACTATGTTCCAGACACAACAGCTCGAGGCCCTTTGGGGCTCAGGGCCGTCATGAGCGCACGGCTTCGAGGGGCGGCTTGTCCATCCAGCGGAAGCGGCAGCCACTCTCCTCCAGGTCTACCAGCAGCTGGGGCGAGAGCAGCGGCCGCCACGCCTGCAGCAGCTTCACCTTCTTCAGCCCCACACAGCGCGTGAGTGCGGCCTCAAGCCCAGGCATGGAGAGGTGTGAGCAGTGCACGAGGTTGAACTTGGTCATGCACGCCATGCCCGCCATCGCCCCCAGCCCCGCATCCGATATGCTCGTGTACGATAGATTCGCCTGTTGGTGGGTGAGGAGGGGGTGCAAGGGGGGAGATGAGGTGGGACAAGTGGCAGTGTGGAGAACGCACGAGGTGGGTTGCAGGCAAGGAAAAGGGTGGAGCGGGGAATGCACGAGTAGGAAGGGGTGGGGGGAGCAGGAGGGACCTGTCGGAGGTCGGGGCAGCCGTGGGCGAGGGCAATGAAGCCAGCATCGTCCACACCCGTGCACTGCTTCACATCCACCTCCTGCAGCTCCCTGCACCCCCACACCCGCCCCCCCGCCCCTCCCGCCTCCTGCTGCTCGCTGCCCTGCACGTCGCTTGTTGCCTGAGGTGCCGGGGCAGGCGGCAGAAGGCCGGCGATGGCGAGGAGGCCGGCGCTGGTGAGCAGAGGCGCGTCACGCACCTCGAGGTTGCGCAGGCGCGGGCAGTGGCGCGCTATGGCTATGAGCGCGGCGTCTCGCACGCGGTGGCAGTAGGAGAGGTTGAGCGTGCTCAGCCCCGTGCACGCCTGCGCCACCGCTGCTATGCCCGCACATGACACGCCCTCACAGCTGCCCGGAGAGAAGGGATTGGGGGGTAAGTGACATGGGGTTGCAGGGCATGTGTGGCTGCTAGTGTTGTGGGGTTGAAGGAAAGCATGTGAATGTGGCATGGCATGGCATATGGTGAGGTTACATGCATGGGCTGCCACAGAATGGCATGCAATCATAGAGCGTTATAGCATGTGGTTGGGAGCGTACCGGTAGAGGTCGAGTTCAGTGAGGGAGGAGCAGGAGGCAGCGAGGGAGATGAGGCCGGCATCGGTGATATCCATGTCGAAACCAAGCTTCAGTGACTGCAGCAATGGGCAGTGCCGCATGCCCTGCACGGCTGGTTAAAGCATGGGGGAGCACACAACAGGTGGAGCACAGTGAGTGGGGCACAGTGAAAGAATCACAGTGAGTTTTGGAGCAACGAGCAGGGAACACCAGAGCATGCCCCCGCCTCCCACATGCCCCCAACGATCCTTTGCCGCCCACATGCAACACACTGCCCTTCCCCCCCTTCCCCCGGCCATGGCACAGCACGGCAGGGCATGGCAAGCCGGGGCACGCACTGGTATCAGAGATGCCACAGTCGGTGAGGTCGAGCGTGGAGAGCGCAGTGCAGTGCTGGAACAGCCCCACCAGCCCCGCGTCTGACACGCCCCGACACGCCTCCATGCGCACACACGCCAGCCGCCTGCACGCATGTGTGATATGTGCATATGCCAGGGGGATATGTGCATGCACGCACACGGGGCAGGGAGGCACAGGTATTGGCACTGTGCGCTGCACTGATATGCCTTGCATTGCATGCACTGCATGGTTCTGCACCTTCCACCGGCCAGCGCCCCTGCTCACATGTGGCCACAGGGCTTGCAGCAGCCGGCCACACACGAGCAAGTCAATGGGGTGGCGATGGATGCATGCATGGCGGGTAAGCAGAGAGAGCGGACCTGCAGTGGGCGGAGAGGGCGAGCAGGGAGGCGTCAGTGACAGAGGAGCAGCAGGTGATGTCGAGGGAGAGCAGGTTGGGGCACGCCGCCGCCAGTGCTGTGAGGCCCTCGTCCCCCACCGCCTCACACCGCCTCACCGATACCTCCTCCAGCTGCCAGCACCCCAACGCCGCCCACCTCCCCACCCCCATCCCCACCCCCACCTGCGCTGCTGCCTGCCCTGCAGCGCTCAGCCCATCCGCTGCTCCTACCGCCGTGGCATGGCCGTGGTCTGCTGCTGCTGAGTCGTTCGCTCCCTCTGCTGCTGCATGCGCCCCGCCTGCTGCTGCTCTCTGCTCGTTCGCTAACACCCCCTCCTCTACTGCCGCTGCAGCTGCTCCTCCTCCTGCTTCTGGCATGCTAGTTTCGGCAGGAGGGGCAGCAGCGGCAGCGGGAGCGGGAGCGGGGGCAGGAGGAGAGGAGGCACCAGCGAGGTCGGAGAGGCCGGCGTCGGTGATGGGGGCGAGGTCCAGCTTGAGACGACGCAGCGCGGGGAAGCGCGGCAACACCGCCAACAGGTTGTCACTCACCTGCCGGTCGCAGGGGGGTGGCATGGGGGCGAGGGGATGGGGGGGGGGGTGCAGATGAGCAGCACATGGCAGTGAGCACTGAATGCATGTGCTGATGAGTAACCACGCTCGAACCCTCTGCCAGCATGCCCATATGCTGCATGCATAACGTGCAAATTCACTGGAGCCTTGCCTTTACGAGCCTTGTTTTTACTGCGCTATCGTTGACCAGTCTTCTGAAACCTTGCTATCGCGAGCACTTGCCTGGGGGCAGAAGGCGGCGGTGAGGGCGGTGAGCGGGATGGCACCCGCTGTGAGCGCCATCAGGCCAACGTCCGTCACCTGCTCGCACCCAGATACGTCCAAACTCTGCCGCCCAGGGAAAGAAAAAAGGGGAGGCGATTGTGACATTCATGTAAGTGCATCTACGCGCGACTAGGTGCATCTACGTGAGGTATCACCTGCCTGCCTACATGCCCTGTATGTCACCTGCAGTGCGGTGCATCCGTGGCGGAGAGTGGCGATGGCGGGGTCGGTGAGCGACTGGCAGCTGGAGAGGTTGAGATGCGTCAAGCTGGGATGGCGCTGCACCACCCTCATTGCCGCCTCCGTCACCTGCCAACCAGTGGAGGGGGTGGTGAGTGTGGGGAGGGGAGACGATATTGGAGAGAACTGCAGAGAGAAAGGAAGAGAACGAAGAAGTGGGCAGAAGGGCAGTGAGGGAATGTCGGAGGCAGGGAGAGAGGGTGGTGGGGATTGGGAAAGAGCGTGGCTTGCCTTGGTGTAGGAGAGGTCGAGGGTGTGGATGGCATGGCAGTTGGAGAGCAGCACGTCCACGCCACGGTCAGTGATGCCCACACACCACCGCAGCGACACCTCCTGCACCGCCTTGCACCCCGCTGCAATGCAGCACACCCCCATGTCCGTTATGCTGCGGCAGTTGCCCAGCCCCAACACCTGCCGTGCTCCATGCCGTCATGCCGTCATGCCGTCATGTCACATTCCAGCATGGCGTTACGCAATGCCATACGACAGGGGCGGGGGAGAGCGGAGGAGTGGTGAGAGGCGCTCTAGGCATACATGCATCGCTGCTCTGGGAGAAGAGGAGGAACGGGGAGAGGAGGAGAGGAGGTAAGGGGAGGGGCGGAAGAGGAGGGTCACGAGGGGCGGGAGAGCGTACCTTGAGTTGGTGGCAGGAGGCGATGGGCATGAGAGCAGCATCGTCGAAGGTGCCGTTGGTGAGCCAGAGCGCCTGCAGCTGCGTGCAGTGCGCGCCGATGGCCTCCAAAGCCGCCTGCCCGATCCGCTTGTTGCTCGCCAGGTTCAGCCGCTGCAGGCTCGTCCCGAACCTCTTTGCGATGGCCACCACGTGCTCGTCGCGGACCTGCAGGCACGGCACGTTAGGTTCGGAAAACTCTGCTCGGAGACCGAGGCTAAAAGGCGCGTGGAAAGCGTAGGGCTTGAGGCAAGGAGCGGATTAGTGGCGCAGGCGTAATGGCGGCGAACGAACGCGCGATGCGCTAGTGGTGCAGGGAGGCGTGAAGGGCGCGCCGCGCATGCGACTGCGATCGATCTACAGACACTCGGCGATTGGTTCTACGAATAACGACACGTGTCATACTCTGATGCACTTGGAGCAGTTGAGATCCTGAATCAATGGACAGCACGCGAGGATGGCTTTGAGTGCGCCGACGTTCAGGATGGTGCACTGAGTGTACGCGCCGCGAATCACGGCGAGCCATCGCTTGCACACGAGCGCCGCCGCCAGCTTGTCGGAGCGGCAGTCGAGGCGGCGCAGCACGCTGAACAGCAGATCGTCCTCCAATGCGCTCAGCTCGCCGCCTCGCCCGGCCGGCGCGCGCCGGCCCCCGTCCATAGTGCGCTGCGCGGACAGCGAAGGGCGGCGGCGAAGTGGCGGCGAAGCTGCAGACGGACTGCGAGGTTCTTTCCGGAGCCCGCAGATGCACGCGTGTGCGTTGAGGTCTGACTGTCAGTTGTGGCGGGCGGGTAAATGCCGAGGAAGGCACATGTACCTGACCGCCAGATGAATCCAACCTGCCTAGAATCTCCCTCCCTGCGAATTTTGGCGTTTGGACTTGATATTACCAGACCATACCGAAATTGTGTAGGAACAAACCACGCTGCATCCATCCATGCAGAAAAGGGAAACTTGCGGATGACTAAGGGTGGGCTGGTATATTTGATATATATATATCTAGTTAGTGTTTCAAATGAGTTTCTCTTTAGGAGCTCCAAATCACCACACCGTGTTCGCAACTTCTTCGCCGTCGTGAATTCGGTAACACGGAGTGGTTCACATCGCGAGGGGCGCATTCAATCACGACGGGCACTCCTTCAGATCAGCCTTCCTATCACGAGCCTTCGTCTGCACGGCCATTACTGC